AAGAATATTAAATTTGTATAAATTACATATGCATTGATAATTAGATAGTATGATTATATGATATATGTATATAATAAGTATGTATTTTTTTAGCCTGTTAGTGAGTTTCTGAGGATTCACAAGCCAGTGTGAACACCAGCCTGGCAGTCCTGTGGTGTGGAACTGGATGGTAAGGGCTGGCATGGGGAAAGCTTACCAGGTTCGGTTCATTGCCCAGAGAGGGGTTTTTGTAGGTGTGAACCAAAGTTACTTCTCAATCTTTTGCTCCTGATTGGTCTTTTTCTTATGACAGACATTACCAGCGTGCAAGCTACAGCTCACTAATCAAGTAATTAGAAAAAGTACGTGTATGGTTTTGTCTGTTTCTGCTGTATCCAATTGCAACAGAGGATTTTCCACGGGAGAAAACCGTTTGTACGCAAAACAAAAGCAGCAGTTCTTATTTCAAATGCAGTTGTATTGTATTTTTTCAACCAAGCCTTTGCGGAGCTTTCAAGAGCTTGTATAATTTTGAAGGGATTAATGTAATTTTATGCCAAAGCATTGATCCCCCAACAAGCTTTCAGTGCAGCTGCCCACGGGCAGTCTCGTTTGTTTATGTTACAGTAAGTGTGACACGTTCTCCCTACAGGTTATGGCATTATGACAGACGGTTACACAACGTACATCAATGCTTCAACGTGTACAGTCAGCTTTCAGCCAACCAACCCTCCAATTATATTTGACCTTCCAACCCCTCAAGGATCCTGAAGCACTACTGCACATTTGGAACTGGGGAAGGTCTATAAACTGCCATTTTCTAATTATAAATCTTACATTCTGTTACATGTTTATTTCAGAATTGAGGGTTGGTGAGAATCTGGGGGAACCGTGGGGGTTTTGGTTTGGGGTGGGTTTTGGGGATTTTAGTTTTCTTTTCTTTTTTTTTTTTTTTTTTTTTGTAAATTGCTGGTACAAGAGAAACAAGAAGTTAGAGGTTGTGCTTTTTGGAAATGCAGCATTCATTTTAAATTGATAAAGCATTGTGAATTTGTAAAATGAATTTTGTTTTTTCAATAAATTTGCCATTGTAAATTGTTATAGTGTTCTCAAAAGGACAGCCAAGCTTTCTTTTAATAAGTGAGAAATCTTATTTTAATATTATATTATAAGCTAAAAAAAAAAATAGGCAGCATTTAAAAACACCCAAATTTGCACAACTTATGTTATTGTCGGGGTTTTTTAAGTGTCTTCTTTTTCCCTAGGTCCAAATGTTAGCTTTTCATCTCCATTTATATCTTTTAATTTTCAGTCGCACAAACAATATTTTGAGGTCTGTTTACCTCTTGAGGCATGTGCATGTACTGAAACTTGTTTCTGTTAACAGCAGAATGCAGCAAGGGGGGAATAGACTTCTCAGTTGTTTGTCTCTACCTGCTTTACACGTAAAAAACTGATATAGATAGCCACAGCCTGTATGTGATATCTACCTTTTATTGTTTGTTTTTAAATTATTTTAGCTTTAAAAGACTGAGGGTGAAAGCTGCAAAGAGCAGGTATTTCATGCAGTAAAAAAAGTGTAAATGCGGACTCCTTTTAAATATGAATTTATATATATATGTATTTTTTGTGCATTATAACTAAGCTAGGATTTAATATTGCCAGTATAGCATCTGCAAAATTATGCTGTACAGCACATCTAAATTATGAAGGATGTGACACCTATTCCAAGTGCTCAAGGCCTTCAAGAGCCTGAGTTAAATCTTTGTCATAGTTCAGGCATGTATAGAGTCAAATGGATACAATCAAGCCTAACTAAAATAAGGCTTAGTTGTCCTTTATATTTAAATATTCTTCTTGTCTTTTTATTTCCTTTTTCTTATTTTGCACTGTGTGTAAATGCAATCTCGCTAGCACAAAATATTGTTGCAGATAGTTATTTCTGTTCTACCACTGTAAATGCTATTGAGCTTTGTTCTGGTTTATGTTACCTTGTTAATGGAATTTAGAAAAGCAGTTGTTCTTTTAAATTTATTGTGATATTATATCTAGCGGCCTTTATATGCAAATAAAATTGCAAGATTTTTAAATATGTGGTTTAAGGGAATTTTGCGTTTTTCTGTGCCATTAGCAGTGGCGGGGGGGCAGTGATAAGGGTCAGAAAGAACTTTTCTATTTCTCAATAAATTTTTATTGCTTGCCATTCAGAGGATGTCAGTTGGGTCGATAAAGCACTCAAGCTTTTCCTTCCGTTTCTCTGCCATCCATCTTTCCATTCCTTTTAGACAGAAGAGATTTTGTCTTCAGATGTTATAATTCAGTGCAGCCAAGTTTGTGCAGTTATGCCTTGTAGGATACTATTCCAGACAAGATGAGGAAAAATTGATTAGGCAGTAACCTCTGTACTCCCCCACTTGGTCATTAGTAGGGAGCAGCAGGTGCCTTGTGCTCATCCGCTGAGGGTTAACAAATGAATAGTCATAAATACATCACTTTTTCTGGATTTCTTCTCAGTTTTTTGGCTACAGCACGATTCACCACCGGGCAGAGAACTGCAGGGGAGGGTGGTTCCGTGTGTGCCGATAGAATGGCAAACACAACAGGACTCGATTGGTATCACTGCAATACGGTTAAGTGTATAATAACAGAATCTTCTTCAGAACTAGGAGTTAGGGCTGTGAAAATCCGGTTTCAAACCTGAGAAGATGAGGCATTGTGTTCCTGAACATGCACCCGCAGTAGCATGAAACAAGACCTGGAAAGCCAGAGTATTCCCATTTATCTTAGCAGGTTGTTAACTTCTGATGTTATTTTGGTACAGAGGTTATAGACAACAAATGGGTTTAAATTGAAAGTGGGGAGGTTTAGATTAGATATCAGGAAGAAATTCTTCCCAGAGAGGGTGGGGAGGCACTGGGACAGGTTGCCCAGAGAAGCTGTGGATGCCCCATCCCTGGAAGTGTCCAAGGCCAGGCTGGATGAGGCTTGGAACAACCTGGTCTAGTGGAAGGTGTCCCTGCCCATGGCAGGGGGGTTGGAATTGGATGGTCTTTAAGATCCCTTCCAGCCCAAACCGTTCTGTGATTCTATAAATTTCAGGCTCTTGCAGCAGAGTGCTACGTAGAGGACTGCTGCTTGTGTATTTCAATGAGCATTACACACAACTATGGATTTAGGATGAAATTTTCAGATTTTTAAGGCTGCTACGCCACTCTTCTGTGGGAGAGAAGCTGCTGTAACTCTTAAAACTAGTTCTTGTTTTGTATGTGGAATTTCTTGTCAGGTTTCCTTAGGGAATAGGCAGGCACCTTCACTGTTTAATGATATCTGCCCTGCTTTGCTGGCAGTGCTGGTTATTTTATCAATTTAACTAACGGGAAAAAAGTCACCAAATATCAGTCTGTCCTTTTGGATGTCGAGGCAGGACCGGTCTGGTGGGTGTTTTTTCAGCCAGCAATGGGTAAACTAGGGAATTGGTTCGGCAGCCACAGCTGTTTCCTGGCAAAGAACATCTCTGCATTTAGGATGGCTGCCCTTCCTCAGCCGAAGCGTTTTCATGTGGCACGCAGACATCATAGTGCACCGCAGACCATTCTCTTTCACTGGCCTCTGGCTTGTCATCATTGCATAAGGAGGAAAGATCCATCAGCTGGGGTGTTTTCTTGTGCCATCAACTTCCAGACGAGCAGAGAAGAGCCGCTGCATCTCGATTGCTCTCCAGCCTTCTGAAGGACCTGGCTTGTCCCCAGCAGCTGGGACAGACACAGTCTGTGGTACCAGTCTGTCAGTCTCCACCTCAGGCATCTGCCTCTAGTGAAAACTGGCTTATTCCTAAAGTGAGAATTTTACACCAGCAGCTTTGTTCCAGGGTTGGAGCAGCCTGGAGCCTTCTGGCAGCTGAGCGAGCTCCAGGTGAGTGAAGGCTGGCGTGAGAGCAGCCTTGGCTAAGGCTGGTAGTGAGGAAATACCACAAGCGGTGCCTGGAAGGAGCAGAAGTCTGTAGCAGACTCGCCAATGAAGTCTAAACCGGTACGTGTAGCTGTAGGTGTCCTTAGGGTGTGTATCTTTGGGTTTCTGCTGTTGGCCATATGGCTTTTGTGTCACCAAGTGCTTCCGCCTGGGATGTGAGGGCCGGCGTTTGGGAGGACAGGCTAAGACTCCGCTTCCCTTTAGGCAGGCGTTGAGGATACTCACTGCTTTGTCCGTTGATGTGGGTGCTGAATACAGCTGTTCATTTAGAGAAATACCTAATCCTCAGGGCACTTTCTGAGCGTGCCTTTTCTCTGGTATTTCTTTTCTCTCGGGCTCTGGCAGCCTCGCGTTGCATACCACCGGTTGTTCGGCACTGAGCTTGTTCTCCTCCACAGCAGGATCTTTTTAATTTTATGTCCTCTTTTTCGTTTTATTCCCTCAATTTCCCTCCGTCCTTTCAGAAATCGATCTAGCTTTTCCTCTTCTGCGAAAGCTATCATTTTGGCTAGCGACCGTCGCAAGAAGGCCAGGGAAACATGAGCAGTTTGGCATTTTTTCTTTCTGTACTCGTCAGAGATTTTGAAAGGTGTATGTGTCTGTCTCTGCTGTCACAGGCAGGTGATCTTCCTTTGCTGGATGTCAGCCAGAAATGGCAATCAGGGTAAACGGGACACAATATGATTTGAAGAAATTTGATTTCACAGCGAGGCAAAAGTGTGACGAATCTGCTTCTTTTCAAGGATCCTTCACTACTAAAAGTAGCTCGGTATCTGTATGCGGAATAAACCTGGGATAATAAGTCTTTCTCCAGGGTCTGATCCAAGCCCATTGAACTCACTGGGAGTCTTTCTATTGACTTCAGCTGGCTTTGGATCAGACACATGGCATCTATCTGGACTGTGTTTCTGTCTATTACTCATCCTTCAAACTGGAGGAGGAGATGGTCCCTGGTTAACATGCAACAGCCTCTTGGCAGGAAGAGGCACCTACCTATTGTAAGTGCTGAATCTTTCCAAGTGATTGATTAACAGCAGCGTAGTCGATTAACCTTTCTTCTTCTGAGAGCAGCTTTCATCTAGTCATCTCGATAAGGCTGAAAGCAGTCAAGGCCTTTATCAGGGGAGGGCTGCAGAACAGGATGTTCCCCAGAGGTGATTGGTTCCCAATTCTCTCTGCATAGTGAATTTAGTGAATTCAGCAGACCTTGAGGTCAAGCATTTATTAGGCTAAGAGACTGTCAAATCAATCTGGTCTACTCCAGGCAAGTTCTACCAGGAGAATGGGTTTTGCCAAGACTCTGTCTACGAAGTAGATTGATGACTAACTCCTGGTTGAAGCTGCCTTTCTCTTTTCCATTTTCCGTGAATCAGATTTTTTCCCCTCACTGACACCAATATTTTCTCCCTAGACAAATTTTATTAAGGAAACTCCTGGAAACCATCTATAATTTAAGTTGCAGGGAGACTTCCAAACTGAGACTTCCAGCCCTTCCATTCTGTGTTACATTGACCCAAGGGCTTTCTTGGAGGCCTTGGTTTTGACCACACCTGATTGAATTATGTTTCTGGAATTTTCTTTTTACCCCTTCTCAAACACCCCCCTCGACCCCCTTTTTTTTTTTGGTTAAACTTGAGGATATTTTCTAGCAGTTACAGACAGGCAGGGATCCTGATTTTCCCTGCCCAGCATAACTTCTTACTGGAAAGAGAAATGCATTGTAAAAGCTGCATGGAACAAAGCTGGCAGGACAAAGCAGTGTGTTTGGCCTTTCCTCTACTTTGCGGTACAGTTCCTAACTT